AGACCCGCTGACAAATTATTCCATATGCATAATCCTTTCTTAGATGATCTACAGAGTTAGCATACAAAAAATTATTATGGAACAAGAACAAGTTCTCCTAAAAAATAATAATTTAATATTGGAGGGTTTGGTATCCTATAAATAATCCTTAGACCCGCTGACAAATTATTCCATATGCATAATCCTTTCTTAGATGATCTACAGAGTTAGCATACAAAAAATTATTATGGAACAAGAACAAGTTCTCCTAAAAAATAATAATTTAATATTGGAGGGTTTGGTATCCTATAAATAATCCTTAGACCCGCTGACAAATTATTCCATATGCATAATCCTTTCTTAGATGATCTACAGAGTTAGCATACAAAAAATTATTATGGAACAAGAACAAGTTCTCCTAAAAAATAATAATTTAATATTGGAGGGTTTGGTATCCTATAAATAATCCTTAGACCCGCTGACAAATTATTCCATATGCATAATCCTTTCTTAGATGATCTACAGAGTTAGCATACAAAAAATTATTATGGAACAAGAACAAGTTCTCCTAAAAAATAATAATTTAATATTGGAGGGTTTGGTATCCTATAAATAATCCTTAGACCCGCTGACAAATTATTCCATATGCATAATCCTTTCTTAGATGATCTACAGAGTTAGCATACAAAAAATTATTATGGAACAAGAACAAGTTCTCCTAAAAAATAATAATTTAATATTGGAGGGTTTGGTATCCTATAAATAATCCTTAGACCCGCTGACAAATTATTCCATATGCATAATCCTTTCTTAGATGATCTACAGAGTTAGCATACAAAAAATTATTATGGAACAAGAACAAGTTCTCCTAAAAAATAATAATTTAATATTGGAGGGTTTGGTATCCTATAAATAATCCTTAGACCCGCTGACAAATTATTCCATATGCATAATCCTTTCTTAGATGATCTACAGAGTTAGCATACAAAAAATTATTATGGAACAAGAACAAGTTCTCCTAAAAAATAATAATTTAATATTGGAGGGTTTGGTATCCTATAAATAATCCTTAGACCCGCTGACAAATTATTCCATATGCATAATCCTTTCTTAGATGATCTACAGAGTTAGCATACAAAAAATTATTATGGAACAAGAACAAGTTCTCCTAAAAAATAATAATTTAATATTGGAGGGTTTGGTATCCTATAAATAATCCTTAGACCCGCTGACAAATTATTCCATATGCATAATCCTTTCTTAGATGATCTACAGAGTTAGCATACAAAAAATTATTATGGAACAAGAACAAGTTCTCCTAAAAAATAATAATTTAATATTGGAGGGTTTGGTATCCTATAAATAATCCTTAGACCCGCTGACAAATTATTCCATATGCATAATCCTTTCTTAGATGATCTACAGAGTTAGCATACAAAAAATTATTATGGAACAAGAACAAGTTCTCCTAAAAAATAATAATTTAATATTGGAGGGTTTGGTATCCTATAAATAATCCTTAGACCCGCTGACAAATTATTCCATATGCATAATCCTTTCTTAGATGATCTACAGAGTTAGCATACAAAAAATTATTATGGAACAAGAACAAGTTCTCCTAAAAAATAATAATTTAATATTGGAGGGTTTGGTATCCTATAAATAATCCTTAGACCCGCTGACAAATTATTCCATATGCATAATCCTTTCTTAGATGATCTACAGAGTTAGCATACAAAAAATTATTATGGAACAAGAACAAGTTCTCCTAAAAAATAATAATTTAATATTGGAGGGTTTGGTATCCTATAAATAATCCTTANTGCGATTGTCAAAGCAAGTTGTAAAAATAATAAACAATACATTATTTGGTATAATGATTGTCATGTAATTTAAGTATATTTTTTTTTTTCGTCAAAAAACTTCATATTTCATCTTGAATAAAATGAATTTCATTTAATTACCACTAACAATAATTAAAAGTAAAAAATAAAGAATTGGCGCTAGGTTCCATTGGATTCCAATGGAACGCAAGGGAAATCCCATGGCGTTCAGCAATGGAAATCCCATTGAGTTCGGGAATGGGATTTCCACTAGAATTCTAGTGGAAATTCCATTCATTCCATTGGCATTTCTCCATTTATTACCATTATTATCAGTGGTCAATGACATTTTTTTAATGGAAATAGAATGGAAATTTTTCCTAAGGGATCAAACATCATTATCTACAGTTTAGGTAACCTGTTGGATGGGAGCTGAAATTCCCCCTTTCGCGTCTTAAATATAAATCGACTTTCACACACATACAAGGGTGCGCCCTTTTGATTTACAATTGATGATAATAATAATAACGGCAGAACAGCGTAACAGAGAAGAAAGTTTTTTTTTCGGTGTTTCTTTCGATTCTCATGCAGCGAAACTCGCTTTGGGGTGTCGCGCTCCCCTGACGTGGTCAGTCGTGCGTATTATCGCGCACTATATACCCTTATGCTTTGCTCGCCACGCACAATGATAAGCCTGATAACTCTTGTACGACGAATAATACAAGCGACTCCCGATCGACTCTGTTCTACGCCAGTTTTCGTTATAATTTATCTTAATAAATAGCCCGACGATGGCAATATGTAAGTGCAACAGTTAACAGTTAATTTAGTTCGAATTGGATTCAAGAGGGTGGATGCATTCACAACAACAAGCAGGATGACTGTCAAGGGTAGGTAATGTTACGTGAACGAATACGAAGAAGTTATGAAATATATTTGTTGTAAAGAAATGCTAGAAAAAGTGGTAGCAACTTAAAATTTATTGAAGGGCAGAGGTGGGTCAAGATTAGAATTCTGTTCATAAATAATTAAAAATGAGGAGTACTGGATGAGAAGAACTAAATATCCAGTCAGTCGTGAGGCTGAAGATCATGATGGTGAGGATGATGGTGATGAAACAAAAGACGTCAAAAAACAGAGTCGATAATTGAAGGGGAGAGATAAACCTAGATTAGATGACTGCTTGTAAATAGTTAGAGATTAAGCTTTGTTTAGTTCCCGGGAAATCCTAAAATTGATTCAGGGTAGGAACAACTGGATGTTCAATAAGTTGTGGGGCTAAAGATCCTATCATGATGACGAGGATGATGGTGATGATGAAATAAAGAGATCAAAGAACAGAGTCGAAGATTGGATGGCAGAGATAGACCTAGATTGGATTAGTGCTCTTAAATAGTTAGAGATAAAGCTTTCTCTAGTTTCTGGGAAATCCGAAATTTGATTGAGGATAGGAAGAACTGGATATTCAACCACTCGCGGGGCTGAAGATTCTATGATGATGTTGAGGATGATGATAATGATGACGACGAAACAAAAGACATCAACGAACAGAGTCGAAGATTGGATGGCAGAGATAGACCTATAATGGATTAGTGCTCTTAAATAGTTACAGATGATGCGTGCTACTTTAGTTTTCAACAAATCCGAAGATTGATCCAGATGGGAGCAAGTGAATGAAACAATGGGACGCCAAACAACCTACCCGAAAACACTGAATGAAAAAAAAAGAGACAAGACAATAGTTCATCAATTGACACCGGCACACTTCCCTATACCGAAATTAGCCATTTAGTGTGACTGCAATATTTTCAGTGAGTAGCAAGTCCATCTTCCCAAACCACATTGATGTTTTCTAAAGATATGGACACCACTTTAGATTTGAACTGACTAACTATTATTTTAAATAATAAGAAATCTAATCTCCCTCAAGTTACTTTCCTTTTTTAATTTTTGTTGAACAAATTGAATATTGTATTGTTGAATGTCGAACCCCTGCCAACAAAAGACACCCTTTCTCAGTTCAATAATTGATTTATTATTACTCTTATTATTGCGATTAAATAATAATATAAATGAGCAACATCAGAAAAAAGTTTTTATATTCTCGTATATGACGTGACGACAGACACATTCTTATCTCGCTCTCGCATGTATGTACAGATAAAGTTATGCCTTATATGTGATTGTGTGCGGTGATTTTCCCTCGGGGACGTGAACCGAACTTGTGTTTGCTAATAGCAGTACAATAAAAGAACAGCGGGGGTTGATAGCTGGTGCAATCAGGTAATCATTAGGAGGGTATTACGGGCCCCGGGGGACCAATTTCCACATCACCGTGTGTATAAACGAACTACCCCTCGTGATAAAGCCTTCTTCGTTCTATTTGTCTAATACGTGGTGACTGGCCGAGGACCGCTGTACAATATTACCCCAAAACTGAAAAATTTTCATTTTGAGGAGTGTCAATCTTCACAGAAGATGAAATCCTACAAATGGCGCGGTAAACGCCATCTGTAGTACAATGCTATACTTCATTTACTTTCTCTAGCGATGTGTCCCTTCTAATGTTTTGGATGCGCGCTGGCAAAATCGTAGGTAGGGAGAAAAAAGCTCATTATACTCTCGACTGTTGTTCATTAAACATAATTTTTCATACAGTACCTGCCAAAAGTTTTGTTCAGTCATGAATAGTAGTGCGAGTCGAAAACAAGCGTTAAAGCCTTTAATATGTCTTCAAATATAAATAAACATCTNAGAAAAAAGCTCATTATACTCTCGACTCTTGTTCATTAAACATACTTTTTCATACAGTACCTGCCAAAAGTTTTGTTCAGTCATGAATAGTAGTGCGAGTCGAAAACAAGCGTTAAAGCCTTTAATATGTCTTCAAACATAAATAAACATCTCGTTGATATTTTCAGTAGTAAATGGTACCAATAACAGCACAGTTGAGCAATGCAATTGTAGTGGATACAATTCACTACTGTAGGGATTATACGCTCTTCACCGGTTAAAAGTTTGGCCGAGAGTTGTCTCCTTTCTTTTCTGGCCTAGTGCTGTTCTTTTCTACTTTGCGCCGGTCAAACTGAAGGTCACATCGCTACAGAAACTAAACGTTTTATCTTGCATGCATTTGAAATTATAATTTCTTATGTTGGTGGCATTTGAATAATAGTTTTGAAAATATAATTGATTTACCTGGCTGTCTGAGATGACCGTGGGGGTCCAACGACGCCTTTGTCATCCCCGACAAACTATTACTTCCATAACCTGTAAAAGAAGTAAAAACTATAATCACATTTTTATTATATGTGTAGTAATATTTATTAGACTCTAAAACAATGCGGACAGCGAAATCTAAAGAAAAATTTCGATGCTTGTATTTATTCGTACTTGGGTTTTAAAATCAAAGAACGTATGGCAATTGACAAAAGCCAATTTTGTTTTTCCTTTTTGTTCTTTTTCAATCTCTGTGACTCTGCAAACATTCCATGCACATGTCTCTGTCGTCTACGTGCCTGGTGTTTATTAGGATGCTCCGGCGAGTGTGTGTTTGAGTGTCTATGTATGCCGACTGTGATTGTAAGGACGGGAAGCGTCGGCGTCGTCTCTCGTAGAAGTGTAGATCAAAGACGGTCGTGATAGCGCTTTAGGCACTCTTGATTTTCCTTTGAAGAGAGTCATCATCGCAACGCTCAGCAGGTCCAAATCCTGTTAAGTTTTGTTGTTGTTATTCCCTTTTTTTCTCCCGGACTTTGTGCTCTGCTGACGGTATAAGGCCTAATCTACACTGCCAACACTTGATTGTTTGTTGTGTTTACCCGAAAAGAAAAAAGGGTCGTCTTTGTAAGAAAAACAAGCGAAAATTGGAAAACAAAAGAAGACACAGATAATGTCAGATAGAGTAGCGCGTCTAAGTTTTCCTAACAATGCCTCGCTTTTCTTAGGTATAACGATTTTAAAAACGAATTCACTGCATTAAAATTGTTATGAACGAATGCCGCAGGCTGCGATCGACACGGCAACGGTACACAGACCACAGATAAAATGAACTGACAAAAAACGCTCTATGAATATATAAATAAGCATTAATCATCCGATGATGGAGGACAGTGGATATAAATAATGCACAAACGAGAAGTTTAAACTGTGATACAAATAAAAATTTAGTGATTTATAAGAAAACTCTTCCTGGGATTTTCTCTTTCCGCCTTTGTTTTATTTTTGTTGAAAGGATCGTTTTGGCTTTTCCTTCATGATAGTTCGCCGCTTTGAGATGGGTAGGGGAGGTCGGAAGTGAGGTAGAGAGATATCTACTGAGAGGGGAAGAGACAAGGCGAGGCGGTCGTCCTGCGGAAAGGATTCTCTTGTCGCTTTATAACGCGCCGTTGAATCCCAAACACGGTCCAAGTGAGCAGTGGAAACAATGGGTGGTTTTTAAGTGGCAGTCACTGATCGTGGCACGGACTGAGTGGGGAGATCTCTTTGATCTTTTCGATTTGCGATCTGCGGTCGTAAATAAATCTCAGGACAATTGAAAACAACAGCGGAAGCCAAAATAAATTTTCTACTCGACGTTAGATTTTCGCGAATACTGAAGGAACGTAAATGGAAAAGAATTTTTGTGTATATTGTACACGTTTAGTCGAGTGTGAGGAAATTCTTTTATCATTGCATCGTACGTATAACAACGTAACGTAATACAAAGTAGGCGACGACAATGGGATGAAAATTGCGAGCGAGAGCGACCAAGTTGAGAGCGACGGCGCGGAGATAATAATGATAACAGTAATAATAACGCGACCGATTTTGAAAAAGCGAACGTTTCGCCGCGGCGCTCATGATACTCTAATGGGGACGCGACGGATCGAGGGAAGAAGGAACGAGAGGGATGAGGGATGGCGCTATTACCGAACGACGACTGACGCATCGAAATTATCTTAATGGAATGATTGACACTTGCACGCTGGAAAACTAGATTGAAACGTGTGATGTCGCGTGTAGAAAATTTCTTACAGCCGGCGTCCAATTAAAAGCTTGACAAAAATAAAGTGGCTTCTGGTCCATTATTTATACTCCAATGCAGTGAAGTTCGCTTATAAATTAACGACAGTTTAGTTTTCATACACTATAATTTAATGGGCTATCATCATCATCATAAGTCAGTCCTAAGACTGGTTGGACACGCACCTCCACTCTTTTCTATCCTGAGCTAATCGCATTTCTCTAAAACTAGAACATCCCACATCCTTAACTATTTGCGAACAGTAATCTAATCTAGGTCTACCTCTACCCCTCTTCTTCTTCTGTTTCTGCCTCTAATATGTCTCTGACTAGACCTTCATGCCTGAGAAGGTGTCCTACCAACCTATCTCGCCTATTTTTTATTGACTTCCATAGAGTCCTCTGTTCTCCTATTCTTTCCAATACCTCTTCATTT